CAGTGCTTGTAAAGAAGGGGTGACAGTGGGGAACACCTGGGGAGCAAGCAGGAGTGGGAGGGTGGGAAGCAATGAGCATGAGGGCGTGGGCAAGTGCCTGCAGTGTCTAGATCAATGTGGAGTGTCATCGTTTGCTTTGAGGCGAGTGTGTGGCACACGAGGGAGCGAGGGAGGCTCAATATTTAGCACCTGACACTGAGTATAGAGTCTGGGAAAGAAAGGCTCAATTTGAATCATGATCCTGACTTGGTTCCTTTCTTGCTCTGTGGCCTTTGGAAAATCACCTGCATCTGTAGGCCTCAGGTAGCTCATGCAAGGAGATAAAAACATTATCTACCTTATAGAGTTTGCTGAGGAGCAACTGGGTTTATCCATGCTGAGTTCCTTTATGGAGAACATTTAACGCAGTGCCGGATGTGAGTAAGCAAGATGTCAGTGTTCACATAGTAAATGAGAACGCAAACATAGCCTCAGACAGTGGAAGCTGGCCTGGATCTCACTACTGGGCTGTGGCTTTCTCTCACTGAGCAGAAACAATATCACCCACCTGTCCTCCGACGAGGCACTTCCTTGTCTGTGGTGAGTCAGGGCACATGAAGACCGTGTCACGGTCATGTCAGTAAGGAGGCTAAAAAATGAAGTCCAATCTGTAAAAATCAGCAAATATTCCCTGCCTCTAGCTGATGTGCCTGGTGCCTCTCCGAGTTTCAGCTGCACTGCATTCTTCCTGCTTTCTAGATAAGAGAGCACCTAGGTGGCTCAGTTGGTTAAGCATCTGCCTTTGGCTCAGGTCATGATCCCAGGGTCCTGGGATCGAGCACTATATAGGGCTCCCTGCTCAGCGGGGAATCTGCTTCTCCCTCTCCCTCTGCCCCTCCCCTGTGCTCTTTCTCTTTCTTAAATAAATAAATAAAAATTTTTAAAAAACTGTTAAAAAAGGACTATTAAGATCTTCAATCATAAAATTACAGGTACCTCCTGACAGCATCTAATCCAGAGTAAAGGAACACTTTACATGTCAGAACATGTCCTCATGCTATACCTGTCATGATGTGTCCCTCACACCCACAGCTCTGCAGTCCTTCATGAGTTGTGTTCATCTGATGCTCTAAGCAGTATGCTTCTCTCTAACTGCAGGTGTGGTCCTGGTGATCATTGGCTGGAGGGCATTGGCCAAGTCATTATCTTACTCTTATTAATGTACTACAAGTTGCGTTAACGACAAAAGTCATTATATATATGAATTTTTTTAAATTGACCCAAAAGAAAAAAAATCCATAAAATACTATGCACCTGGTACCATGACTAAGAATTTATGCCTGTAGAATGTAGAATGTAGGGGCGCCTGGGTGGCTCAGTCGTTAAGCGTCTGCCTTCGGCTCAGGTCATGATCCCAGGGTCCTGGGATCGAGCCCCGCATC